TGTGGCTTTGTAGTAGAGCTTGAGGTTGGGGAGCGAGATCCCCACCACTTTATTCTTCCTTCTCAGATTGCTTTGGCAATGCCAGGGTCTTTGGTGTTTCCATGTGAATTTTTTAACTTTTTGTTCCAGTTTGTTGAAGAATGTTCTTGGTCCTTTGATAGGGATTGCATCAAATCTGTATATTGCTTTGTGCAGGATAGCCATTTTGATGATGTTAATTCTTCCTATCCAAGAGCATGGGACGAGTTTCCATTTCCTAGTGTCCTCTTTAATTTCTCTTAAGAGTGTCTTATAGTTTTGAGGGTATAGGTCTTTCACTTCGTTTGTTAGGTTTATTCCTAGGTATTTTATTCTTTTTGATGTAATTGTGAATGGAATTGTTTTCCTGATTTCCATTTCTATTAGTTCATTTTTAGTGTATAGGAAAGCCACAGAGTTCTGTGTGTGAATTTTGTATCCTGCAACTTTACTCTATTCCAGTATCAGTCCTGGTAGTTTTGGTGTGGAGTCTTCAGTGGTTTTTATGTACAATATCATGTCATCTGCAAATTGTGACAGGTTAAATTTTTCTTTACCAATTTTGATTGGTTGTATTTCTTTGTTTTGTCTAGTTGCTGTGGCTAGGACTTCCAGTGGTATATTGAATAACAGTGGGGAGAGTGGGCATTGCGGTCTTGTTCCCCATCTCAGAGGATACGCTTTCAGCTTCTCGCTGTTCAGTATGATGTTGGCTGAGGGCTTATCATATATGGCTTTTTTTATGTTGAGGTACTTGCCCTGTATACCCATTTTGTTGAGAGTTTTTATCATGAATTAAAGTTTAATTTTTTCAAATGCATTGTCAGCATGTATGGAGATGATCATGTGGTTTTTGTCCTTTTGTTTATGTGGTTGATGATATTGATGGATTTTCGAATGTTGTACCATCCTTGCATCCCTGGGATGAATTCCACTTGGTCATGGTGTATGATCCTGTTGATGTATTTTTGAATTTGGTTTGCTGATATTTTGTTGAGTATTTTTGCATCTACGTTCATCAGGGATATTGTTCTGTAGTTTTCTCATTTGGTCTGGTCTTTGCCTGGTTTTGGCATTAGCGTGATGCTGGCTTTATAGAATGAGTTTGGAAGTATTCTCTGCTCTTCTGTTTTATGGAAAACTTTAAGGTGAATAGGTTTTATGTCTTCTCTATATGTGTGATAAAATTCTGCGGTAAATCCATCTCGTTGTGGGTTTTGTTTTTGCTTAGTTTTTTGATTTTTGATTATTGATTCAGGTTCTTTGCTGGTAATTGGTTTGTTTAGATTTTCTGTTTCTTCCTTGATCAGTCTTGGAAGGTTGTGTTTTCTAGGATGTTCATTTCTTCTAGGTTTTCCAGCTTATTAGCATATAGGTTTTCATAGTATTCTCTTATAATTCTTTGTATTTCCGTGGAGTCCATCGTGATTTTTTTCCTTTCTCGTTTCTGATTCTGTTGATGTGTGTTAATTCCCTTTTTCTCTTAATAAATCTGGCTAGAGGCTTATCTATTTTGTTTATTTTCTCATAACCCAACTCTTAATTTATTGATGTTTTATATTGTTTTATTCTTCTCAATTTTATTTATTTCTTCTTTGATCTTTATTATGTCCCTCCTTCTGCTGACCTTAGGCCTCATTTATTCTTCTTTTTCCAATTTCTATAATTGTGACATTAGACCATTCATTTGGTATTTTTCTTCCTTCTTTAAATATGCCTGGATTGCTATATACTTTCCTCTTAAGACTGCTTTTGCTGTATCCCAGAGAAGTTGGGGCTTTGTGTTGTTGTTATCATTTGTTTCCATATATTGCTTGATCTCTTTTATTTTGGTAATTGATCCATTAATTTTTTAGGAGCATGTTGTTAAGCCTCCGTATGTTTGTGATCCTTTTTACTTTCTTTGTACAATTTATTTCTAGTTTTATACCTTTGTGGTCTGAAATGTTGGTTGGTAGAGTTTCAATCTTGAATTTACTGAGGCTCTTTTTGTAGCCTTGTTTGTTGTCCATTCTGGAGAATGTTCCATGTCCATTTGAGAAGAATGTGTAACCTGTCGCTTTTTGTTGTAGAGTTCTACAGATGTCTATTAGGGCCATATGTTCTAGTGTGTTGTTCAGTGCCTCTGTGTCCTTACTTATTTTCTGTGTGGTAGATCTATCCTTTGGAGGTAGTGGTGTGTTGAAGTTTTTTAAAATGAGTGCATTGCATTCTGTTTCCTCCTTTAATTCTGTTAGTATTTGTTTTACATATGCTGGTGTACCTGTGTTGGGTGCATATATATTTATAATGGTTATATCCCCTTGTTGGACTGAGCCCTTTATCATTATGTAATGTCCTTCTTTATCTCTTGTTACTTTGTTTTGAAGTCTATTTTGTCTGATACTAGTACTGCAACACCTGCTTTTTTCTCCCTGTTGTTTTCATGAAATATCTTTTTCCTTCCCTTGACTGTCCATGTCTTTGGTTTTGAGTTGAGTTTCTTGTAAGCAGCATATAAGATGGGTCTTGCCTTTTTATCCATTCTGTTACTCTGTGTCTTTTGATTGGTACATTCAGTCCATTTACATTTAGGGTGATTATTGAAAGAGCTGTATTTATTGCCATTGCAGGCTTTAGATTTGTGGTTACCAAAGTTTCAAGGTTATCTTCTTTAGTATCTTACTGTCTAACCTAACTTGCTTATTGAGGTTTTATAAACACTGTCTGATGATTCTTTATTTTTCTCCCTTCTCATTCCTACTCCTCCATTCTTTGTATGTTAGGTATTTTATTTTGTGCTGTTTTGTGTTTCCTATGACTGCTTTTGTGGGTAGTTCTTTTTATTATTTTTATTTTGTTAGTATTTTGTTGGTCTGCTTTCTTCGCTGTGATTTTATTTTCCCTGGTGACATCTATTTAGCCTTAGGAGTGCTTCCATCTGGAGCATTCCCTCTAAAATACCGTGTAGAGGTGGTTTGTGGGAGGCATACTCCCTCAACTTTTGCTTGTCAGGGAATTGTTTAATCTCTCCTTCATATTTAAATGATAATTGTGCTGCATATAGTATTAGTATTCTTCGTTCAAGGCCCTTCTGTTTTATTGGATAAATATATCATGCCATTCTCTTCTGGACTGTTAGGTGTCTGTTGAAAAGTCTGATGGTAGCCTGCTGGGTTTTGTTTTTGTAGGTGACCTTTTTTCTCTCTGTAACTGCCTTTAAAACTCTGTTGTCCTTGATCTTTGACATTTAAATTATTTTGTTTTGGTGTTATCCCCCTTCTGTCACCTCTGTTGGGAGTTCTGTGTACTTCTGTGCTCTGAACGACTATTTCCTCCCCCAGTTTGGGAACGTTTTCAGCAATTATTTCTTCAAACACACTTCCTATCCCTTTTTCACTCTCTTTTTCTTCTGGTACCCCTCTAATGCAGATATTGTTTCTTTTGGATTGGTTGCACAGTTTTCTTAATATTGTTTCATTTCTGGGGATAGTTTATCTCTCTCTGCGTCAGCTTCTATGCATTCCTGCTCTCTGGTTTCTATTCCATCAATGGCCTCATGTATCTCATCCATACTGCTGTTAAATCCTTCCAGAGATTGTTTTATTTCTGTAGTCTCCCTCCATAATTTGACCATTAGCTCTTGCATTTTTCTCTGCAGCTCCATCAGCATCGTTATGACCTTTATTTTGAATTCTTTTTCAGGTGATTGGTTAGGTCTATCTCTCCAAGCTCCTTCTCAAGGGTTGTGTCTGTTTTTGGTCTGGCTCAAATTTTTTTGCCTTTTCATCGCGATAGAGGTAGTTGTGGGGAGGTAGCGCGTGTGTCAGCTGGGAGAACGTCCCTTCTTGGTAGTTTGTGGCCTTCCTCTCCTTGGAGAATGGCGACCCCTAGCGGCTTGTGCTGGGCATCTGTGCGCAGACCGGGTCTCCAATTCGTGCCTAGCCTCTGTGGAGGAAGGTCTGTTGTTGCTGTGGGCGTGGCAGTTGTTAGGCTGCTGCTCCGCTATGGTGGAGTCGCACCGGTGGGGGAATGGGCAGGAGGTTGTTTATCACCGTGATGTGCCTCAGAGGTGCACTTCCGCCCCGCGGGTTAGGGTGCCCGGTTTTCCCTTGGATTCCGAGGTCCTGGGCTGAGTGTGCCGGGATGATTTCGTCCAACTGTGTGGTCCCTGTCCCGTTAAGACTTCCAAAAAGCACTTGCTTTTGTTTGTCCCTGGAGTGCTGGCTGCAGGGACCCGCCTGCAGGTTTTACTGTTTCATTTGCCTAGTATCCAGCATACCACGCACTTTTTGTCTGCAGTCCCTGTGTGAATCGCCAGTGCTGGGTATTTAGTAGTCCTGGCCTCCCTCTCCCCTCTTCGATTCCTCTCCTCTCACCAGGAGCTAGGATGAGTGGTGCTCGGGTCACCCCGGGCCGTGGCTTGTATCTTATCCCCTTCATTAGGCGCTGGGTTTTCGCAGTGTAGATGTAGCCTGGCTGTTGTCCTGTATCTTCTTGTCTCTCTTTTAGGGATAGTTGTATTCATTGTATTTTCAAATACATATATGGTTTTGTGAGGAGATTTCTGCTTCTCTACTCATGCTGCCATCTTGGCTCCTCTCCTTTGGAATGTCTTTTATCAGTATAATTTTTTATGGACAGGAGTTGGAGTAATAATCCGGTTAGGAAGAACTTAATCCTCAAAAGAATAATGAGAAAAGGAAGGTGGACTGTTACACTCACTAAAAGGTGTGTTCAGTTTCTCTTTGTTACAGCAGTTAATTGTAAAAACTTGCCATTCTTTACTATAATAAAATTGCTAGTAAGAGTAAACTGTTAAGTGCTAGGCAAAATGCTAAGCAGTTTGCATTTAATACGTACACATACCTTTTAGGTAATCCCTGTTAGCCCTGTTAGTTGGTGAGGTAGCAGGCACAGAATGGTTAAGTAAAACTGTCACATGATCCGAAAGCCTGTTATATTTTATCTAAATGCTTCTATTTTGTGCTTTACTCTCTTAGCAGTGGAAGACAGGAAGCTGTTTATTGGTATGATTTCCAAGAAGTGCAGTGAAAATGACATCCGAGTCATGTTCTCTTCATTTGGACAGATTGAAGAATGCCGGATATTGCGGGGACCTGATGGCCTGAGCAGAGGTGGTTACATTTTTTGCCTTTAAAGTTAACTTCTCTTAAATTTGGAATATGGTGTCTCTCTTAATTGGGCCAGTGGAAACCAATGATCCCTTGCCAACAAACGGTATCATGATGTTGGGAACAGGGTTGGTATTGTGTATCTAGATCCCATCACAGTTCCTCCCTTACTTGACCCCTTTAATATTCTTCCAACCTCCCTAAGGAATCTACATTCTGCACTTAAGTGTTGTGTGTTAAAGTTCTCCCCTTTTGTGCTTGGAGAGGTTCTTAATGCCAGAATGGAAGCACTTCCTTTTCAAGAAGTACTAGAGGACAATCATGATTTCTCTTTTATCCCTTAAGCACTTTCTTTACTGTCTGTGCCTTCTTGGTTTTCCATTTAATCGCTTACTGCCCTGTTGTAATATGTCTGTCTCCTGCACTAGATCATGAATCCCTGAAGGCAGGAACTGTGTCTGTATTGTTAGCATAGTACTTGGTGCGTAATAGGTGCTCAGCAAATGTCTATCAGGTAGATAAAAAACAAATGCATGAATGAGTTAATGACCCTTCTCTTACCAGGCTGTGCGTTCGTGACTTTTACAACAAGAGCCATGGCACAGACGGCTATCAAGGCAATGCACCAAGCACAGACCATGGAGGTAGGGAGCAGGTGGATGCAAGTGGGAAGTCCCTTAACCTAAGGGCGCTAGGACAGTTGGCCATCAAAACCTACCAGCATGGACAGCATCTGATTGCCCTTAAAAGTTATGCAGGCCAAACATCTTACAGTTAAAAACCCAAGCTTTTCTTTCTTTAACATTTTGAAAGTGGTTACCCTTTTAAATTTTCCTTTGCCACTTGTGTTTACCAGGAAGATAATCATTTGGCAGTGAATGAAATTAGAATGTATCCTATGTGTTATTACAAAGGAAGATTTCTTTTCTTCACTCAGAATGAGGGACCTGAACTGTTGGTTTTGGTGTTTTCATAGGGTTGCTCATCCCCCATGGTGGTAAAATTTGCTGATACACAGAAAGACAAAGAACAGAAGAGAATGGCCCAGCAGCTCCAGCAGCAGATGCAGCAGATCAGTGCAGCATCCGTGTGGGGAAACCTTGCTGGTCTAAATACTCTTGGACCCCAGTATTTAGCAGTGAGTCTTTGTGGTTTGCTTTCTGCAGACTCTGCAAGCTCTCAGCTGTTTCTTCTGTTGCTGCCCCTTGTTAACAGACACAATGGCATTTATAACTCTTATCATCTTAAAATTTTACATAAAAATTCAGGCAATGTGGCATTAAAGCTTTAAGTCACATGTTAGTATCCTCTCCCTTTTCTTTCCCCACCTCCTTCCATCACACATCTTTGGCTCTATCTTAAGGCTTCTGCTGTAATTAAAGTGAAGTCCTGATTTCCTGATATAAACATTTAGAAACATTGCATGTGTCCCTTACCCAAAGAAGAAAAATTCCTTAGGGTATCTTAACTACCAAGTACCTTTCTCCATATCTCTCTCTACCAGATTTAGAGAGCATTGTTCAAATCCTTATTGAGTTTTCTCTGAAAAGTATGATAAATGTTTCTTTCCCCTGACTGAGAGGTCAGCAGATTAACATGGACTTATGAAATGAGTATTACATGTGTATATTTGAGTTCACTGTACCATAAATAGAGTTCCTTTAATATGATCTCTTTCTTGTTGAATTTGAGTCATAGTCCTTCAAAGGGCCAGTCTCCAACTTGTTATTTAGATTTAGTAGGTATGGAATATATGTTACATGGGATTATCACTGCTTTAAAAGAATTCCAGACAGCACAAGACACTTAAAACCATCTTATCTGTGATGCCAAAAGAACAAGTCTGTGAAGCTGTTAGTGAAGGAAAATAAAATGTTGAAAGTACTGAATTTGTATGGATAGTCCAAAATTAAACATGTAGGAATAAATATAGTCATTTATTCCTCATCCCTTAACATAATTATTCTCTATGGAAACAAAAGGAAGGAAATGGTTTCTGTCCACCAGTACTGAGTTTCAGCAGTTTGATGCCCCTAGTCTCCATATTTCTAAAGTGTTAGAAGAAATCCCAGTTTCCTCGCTGGTATTTCTCTGAACTCAAAAAGTGTGGATATTTGTTACATTTCAATAGATTTAATTGTTTGTTAGTGCTAGAACATTGCATATAAGATCAGAAAATTTAGAGAGATTTTATTTTTCTTTCACAATCATAATGCCTTGAAAATTATCTCCTTATTTGTATTTGATTTTCTTAGAGTTTGGGTGCCCTTTTTCGGGAAGACCCCTTTTTGTTGTCATTGCCACATCAGCAAGTGTCTGATGGTAGAGAGCTATGGCCTCTTTGCTTTAGTTAAACTCCATCTCTACCCTAAAAGCTGTTCTCATTTAGGGAGGAAATGAAGTTGCTGACTACAGCATGCACAGTCCACCAGTGGGGACTGAACACATTGCTCAGGGTATTTAGGATGACACAAATGAAGACATGGGTGCTAATGGACTGTGTAAGTGATAGTACACCATTAATTTGCAGATTCTTTCTGTAATAGTCTTGGAACCTGATCTGCATTCCACTAGAGCAGTGGTTCTTAGTTGTGTACCCCTTGAGCAGCTGGTAAAATTGTGTTTGTGGCTTTTGTTGTCATCCTTGTTGCTGTCATTTCCTTCATTCTGTTTCTGGAGGTTTGTGAGCCTCCTGAAACCCACAGGGACTAAAGGGATACATGCTGACGGAGGAACCAGGTCAGATGTCTGGGAGTAGGCAACAGGTTGAATAAAGGATCCAGAAACAATACCAGTTGTCCATAAGGAACAGTGATTGGGTTTGAATTAAGGAAAGGTTTTCAGTAGGTTTGGTGAGATGACAGTTGTAGTTTGCTGTGATACAGAGAAAGGTCATAGAAATCTGTAAGCTTATGGCAGGTCCTCTTGTTTTATTTATTCAGCAACAGCTATTAAAAGAGAATGTACACTGAAGTGATATGGACTGATCCATCAATTACCTGGGCATCTGCCACAGCGAAGACTAATTTGGAGGGGAGGAGATAAATGGGGCTGGGTAGATAATGTAGCATGGGAGAGACAGATCTAATTGTGTGTCCATTGTGACTGGTAAAGGATGAGTTCACTTCAAGAAATACCCTGAAATAGATTTGACGTTTGTAAAATAGTTGGATAAGGTAGAAATTGGATATCTAGATGGGAACAGTCTGCCACATAAGATGAGTGGACCTAACTAAGGACAACTTGGGAGAGAGAGGAACTAGAAATGGCAGTCATCCGTATGCAGACACTTATTGCAGTGGACTGAGTAGCTGCTTGAGTTGAGCTTAGTTCCCTCCTGTACTTCTGTCCTTTGCTATGCTGCATTCTGTTGCCCAAGAGTTTGAGCTTGGCTCAGTATTCAGTTAACATACTGTCTTCTGGGCCAGTGCTTTAGCTGTCCTGTGCTGTCATAGCCTCGGTCTGTTGTATTGGCTTGAGTTCTTACCTTCAACTTTCTTCTCTGGGGGCCTCTGCACTCTCGCTTTGCTGTGCTGTAGAGTTATCCCAGATGCAGAACCAGCCCTCACTCTCACTCTTGTTCTGTTTTTTGGTGTAATGTCTAGCTTTATTTGCAGCTCCTTCAGCAGACTGCCTCCTCTGGGAACCTCAACACCCTGAGCAGCCTCCACCCAATGGGAGGTAAGTGTTTTCACTGCTGTGGAGAACAGGAGCAACCAGGCTACCAGACCCAGCTAACAACAGTCTGAGTACCATTTGTGTGCAGGGGGGGAAATAATCCCCTGCCCTGACTTGTTATGTAAACCTGACATAGGTGAACATCCCAGGACTCAACTGCCTTGTATCTAGAAGGTGGCTCTCTTAGTTGTTAATGCCAGATTGCTCTGGGCTTATCTTCTGCTCCCCGCTCTCTCTTAAGGAAGAATATGGAAAAGTTGTCAGCACCATCAGATTCTCTGAGGTCATTTTGATAGGGAGAACATTGCAGGAAGTCTTTATTTTTCATAGTAAAGTGACTTTTCCAGTGACACTGTGGAGAAAAAAAATCCTAAGGTGGTTTCTGTGTAAATAGTTTACCCTGCAGCTGTTAGAACCCCAGGCAGTTAGTTTACTTCTGTGCCTTTTACATGTTCTTAGGTGAATTATCTTTTCTTGCTGTTAACATCCATGGAAAACTTAATTGACAGATACGTGAGTTTCTAACAAAAAGGGACTCCACAGACAAACCTGAGGCAGGGGCCATCAAAAAAGTCAGTGGGAGGTGGGAGTGGGGAGGTCCCAGAGCTGCCTGTTTTGGCCCCTTCTGTAGTTGGTGTGGCTGGGCAAGTGTATTTGACAAGGGGGTAGTCTTAGGTGAACTGCATTGTTGACTGATTCTCTTTGTCCCAAGGACTTACTTAGAGTTTGCTATGTTTTTGAAATGTTGCTAGATGTAAATCTGGGTTGTAGTTTTTAATTCTCATTTAACTCACTTCCCCTCCTCCCCATCTGCCTTTCCATCATCTAGTAAATGGTCTGCAACACACTGTCAGCGCAGTTCAGATTTCTTGCTCACCTTCAACTATGTTGCCTAGGTTCGGTGTGTTTTTTCTCTCCTGTGATTAATCTGCTGTTCAAGTGGTGGTTTTTCTTTATTCCTTCTCTTTAATGCTGTTATCATGTATTTTTTTCTGTTGTTCCTCCCTTGGACTTTTGGATCTCTTCCATATTTTCTGCTTGTTTGCCTCTGTTGCCAAGAGCAGATCCCTTGTAAAGTATGAGTAAGGAGCTCACATGCAGTCTCATTCTGTGCCATAGGTTTTGGCCTTGTTCCATTGGACACCTGGCCCCATGGTAGACCACAGACCTTCGCCTCTTGCCTAGTTTCCTAATTGCCCATCCTCTTTATTAATGCTCACTTTTGGTGGCATGTTCATGTTGTTGGATTAGCTATCTCTTCTGAAGAAATATGTCGAGTTTCTTAATGAGTGATATCAATCTTTTTGGAGTGCTGTAGTATTACTTGTAAGGCTTATCTAGAGCACCTTGTCTTTGAGACTAGCCTTCTGCCAATGTGAGCTGTCATTGTTGGAGTGGATATGAGACGCCCCTGGGGTGGATATGAGGCTGATCTCTTTCTTTGGATGTTGCAGGGTTAAATGCAATGCAGTTACAGAATTTGGCTGCACTAGCTGCTGCAGCTAGTGCAGCTCAGAACACACCGAGTGGCACTAATGCTCTCACTACATCCAGTAGTCCCCTCAGCGTACTCACCAGTTCAGGTAAGTGTGCGGTAGGCACCAGTGTGCCTTTGTGTGCCTCGGGCAGAATTGCCAAAGAGAGGTATGCCATTCTGGAGAGTAGTAAACACCCATTCCCAAAGGGGTCAGATCATGAACAGTACATTTTCAAATGTCATTTTTCTGATTTAAGAGATACCTCATAATTTTTATGAGATTTTTTTTTTGTTGTTGGAAACTTCATTTGGACTCTCGTGCATTGGTTCCTGGTGACTTGAAAAGGCCTGAGTTTAACTTGCGGATTTCTGATAGCAGGGTCTTCACCGAGCTCCAGCAGTAGCACCTCTGTCAACCCCATTGCCTCCTTGGGAGCCCTGCAGACATTAGCTGGAGCAACGGCAGGCCTCAACGTTAGCTCTTTGGCAGGTGAGGGGCAGCCTCTGTATGTTAGTAGGCCATTCTTTTTGCAGGTAGCACATTTTAACCAACCATGGTAGGAGCACCGTTGTGATGGGGTGGCCTGGTGAAGTTAGGAAAAATGATGGGATTTCAAATTAGATCTGTGTTAAATCCTACCTCTACCCCTTAACTAGGTGTAACTCATAACCACCTCCTTAAGTCATTTTTCTCATCTATGAAGCAGGATTAGAATAGTTTGAGAGTTGCTGAGGTAAATGAGAACATAGGTAAAGTGCTAAGTACATTGCTTAGTATAGTATTTGGCAAGAAGAATGTGCTGAGTAAATGTTAGCTGCTATTTTGATGCTAGGGTTTACCTACATCTTGTCATAGATCACATGCACCCCCTTGAGTTCCCAGTCCTGGGATGCTTATTTTATCATATGCCACGAGAAAGTGGCAGAAAAAACAAAGAGAAAATGTGACAGGTCATGTTTATTTTACATTTTATTTTATTTACTTGCGTTATTAAACACTCACCCCAACTAGTGTAGTGACTGTCAACATAGGAAGATGTTAATAGTACTGTGGGCAAGTCATATTTAGGTGGTATCACTTCTTGCACTGGTTGTAAGATGCTGATGGGAGAGCCACACCTAGGTGTGGTATTTTAATGTTCCCACTAGCAACAAAGCCTGGTGAGCATTTGAAATCTGATGTCAAGTTGGGTATTACTCTTTAGGGTGGAGCTCAAAGGGAGATAAAAAGGAGAATTTTGGAGTTTGTCTTTGTCATTGGATGAGTTTTTCCAATCTGCTAATCCTGCTCTTCCCCCTAACAAAGGGATGGCTGCTTTAAATGGTGGCCTGGGCAGCAGTGGCCTTTCCAATGGCACTGGGAGCACCATGGAGGCCCTCACACAGGCCTACTCGGGGATCCAGCAATATGCTGCTGCGGCACTCCCTACCCTGTACAACCAGAATCTGTTGACACAGCAGAGTATTGGTGCTGCTGGGAGCCAGAAGGAAGGTGAGTGCAAAGGGAGACTGGAACAGGGACAGGGGTGGTTACTCTGTGTGCTCCAGAACTGAAAGGCAGGGCAAACACCAAAAGAACCATGTAGGTGGTCAGACCAACATTTAATTGGCAGTGTCAAGAGTAGACTGAGAAACTCTGTAAAGTATGATCTCCTTTTGAAATGATCCCTGGATGTGGCTCAGATCAGAACCTCTGTGTGCCCTCCTTGGAGGGGACTGCAGTTTTTAGATGAAGAAACCTACTGGCCTTATTGTGTCTGACGCCATTTGGCAATCTCTCTTCATTAGGAGATCTTGGTGGATATAAATCTGTCAGAGGATATCTTCTGGCTAGGAGTCCCTTTTAGCTGTATCATTTGGCATTGTCCTCACTTTCTGATACACACTTTTCCCAATTCAGGACAAAATGAAGGGCAGTGGGACAGAAAGAGTTAGAGCCCACAGGTTGATGGTGTGGGAAAGAAGTATGCACTTTGACTTAAATGGCATTAAGTTGAAGAGAGGCTTTCTGGGCAGAAAGAGGCCTGAAGGTGGTTTGTATGAATAGAAAATCCGGCTGACACCTGTGTGCTCATATTTGACTGGGTTTTTATTGTTTATTAAGGTATCATTGATATACACTCTTATGAAGGTTTCACAAGAAAAACAATATGGTTATTATATTCACCCTTATTATCGATTCCCCTCCATACCCCATTGCTTGACTGGGTTTTTATAGCTAGAAACTGGGAAGTTCTAAGTGCTAATCTAGGAAAAAGACAAGTATCCTTTCTTACCATAGCATCATGGAGTCCCGGTCTAGTGCATCTTCACCTGCTCTGAATCAAGATGCTCATGTGCCCTGGGATGTGGTAGTGGGGGAACTGATGTAACCATGGAGACAGACTTGATAAACACATAATAAAACATGAGGTGTTTGAAATGAAGTTCTGAAGAATGGTGTACAGCTTAAGAGGGATAAGGCATGCTGGAGGCATAGCATCTTACATAGAATGGTCAGAGAAAGTCTGTGTAAGTTGGAGTTCAAGCAGAGACCTGAAGGAAGTAAGGAAGCAAGCCATGCATATACCCAGAGGAAGACAAGTAATGGGGGCAGAGGAACAAGTGCAAAGGCCCTGAGGCAGCAGTATTCTGTACTGTCTTTGAGGACAGCAGGGAGAATAGGATGGCTGGAGAATGGCTATTGTAATAAAACTCTTTTTTTTGTTAGAAAAGCGTTGTGTATAAGTGGTTGGAAGAGGAAAATACCCTATTTTTGAGCTCAGTGTTAATCACAGGCACATTTAAAAAATGTAATTTCTTTTACTAAGGCACAGTTTACAGATAGTAACATTCATTTTTCTTGGAACATGGCTCTGTGAGCTTTGACAAACTCATGCAGTCGTGTTACCATCACTGTGGTTGTAGACCATCTCCACCACCCTAAGAAATTCCCTCATATCCCTTTGACGTCATTTACCTGCCCATACCTCCTGTCCCTGGCAACTACCAATCTATTTGCTGTCCCTGTGGTTTCTAGGCACAATTTTGAGACCTGTTTATGATCTCATTTTCCCTTCTCTTCTGTGTTCCTCTGCAAGCCTCTCTAGTCTCTGGTTTCATTGTTCCACAGGCAAATCTGCCTACCTATTGTCCCATCACACTCTCCTTCCACAAGATCACATTCTAACATCCCTCAACGAGACATGGAGCGTGGTGAAACAGGAGGAAAGGATTCTGTTGCAGTGGTTGCCCTTCAGTTCCCTGGCTTTATCTTGGGAGAATCTGTTTACGTCTCCAAATGAAACCTCATTGGGATGCTGACAGTTTTAACGGGAAAATGAGTGACAGTTGGTGTGGGAGGGTGTGTGTGGTTGATACTGATAACTTTTAAACCAATGGGTATTTTGAAGGTCCAGAGGGAGCCAATCTGTTCATCTACCACCTGCCCCAGGAGTTTGGAGATCAGGACCTGCTACAGATGTTTATGCCCTTTGGGAATGTCGTGTCTGCCAAGGTTTTTATAGATAAGCAGACAAACCTGAGCAAGTGTTTTGGTATGTTGGCTTCTCTTCTGGTGATGGAGAGGTGTGGGAGTTAAGTGTTTTTACCTCAGGGAAAGAGATGGAGCTGAAAGGAAGAGCTGGGATCGAGTTTGGGTTACTGTTTAACTCAGCCTTGGGCACATTTTTTTCTTTTGAGCCCCAGTTTTTTCATTTCTTCAGTGGGAATGATGATTTCTACCCATGTGTTACTCCAGAGGTGAAAATAATGTATGGAAAATGGTTTGGCAAAAATACTTAAAAGTAACAGACAGATGTGAGGTAGTACAGTACAGTTAGGAGCTTAATTTATTTCATGTGGTATAATTTCCAGAATTCTTATCCTTGCTGAGGAAAATTGGGATTTGAGACTAAGCATATAAGATACCTCTTGCATAAGGGGGACTGAGAATCTCCTTGCCTCATTATGTCCCTCACTTAGGTTTCTGCTTGGACACACAGGTTTTGTAAGTTACGACAATCCTGTTTCGGCTCAAGCTGCCATCCAGTCCATGAATGGCTTTCAGATTGGCATGAAGCGGCTTAAAGTGCAGCTCAAACGTTCGAAGAATGACAGCAAGCCCTACTGAGCGTGCTCCCCTCTGAGACTGGAGTGAGAGGGTCTTCTGGTAAGTGGGGGAGGAGCACCCTTAATGATTCGAAGCCCTAAGGCTGTGTGTTGACAGCCCTGGACCCTGATCCCTGCTGCTCTCGCAGGCACAGCTTGCCCTGAAGACTCGGCTACTGCCTTCTGTGGGAGTTTCACTTCGTACAGAGGACAAATTTGTGCTTTGGTTTCCAGTGTTTCACTTTGGAGTTTAGATGCCATATCCTGAGTTATTTNATCTTAACTACCAAGTACCTTTCTCCATATCTCTCTCTACCAGATTTAGAGAGCATTGTTCAAATCCTTATTGAGTTTTCTCTGAAAAGTATGATAAATGTTTCTTTCCCCTGACTGAGAGGTCAGCAGATTAACATGGACTTATGAAATGAGTATTACATGTGTATATTTGAGTTCACTGTACCATAAATAGAGTTCCTTTAATATGATCTCTTTCTTGTTGAATTTGAGTCATAGTCCTTCAAAGGGCCAGTCTCCAACTTGTTATTTAGATTTAGTAGGTATGGAATATATGTTACATGGGATTATCACTGCTTTAAAAGAATTCCAGACAGCACAAGACACTTAAAACCATCTTATCTGTGATGCCAAAAGAACAAGTCTGTGAAGCTGTTAGTGAAGGAAAATAAAATGTTGAAAGTACTGAATTTGTATGGATAGTCCAAAATTAAACATGTAGGAATAAATATAGTCATTTATTCCTCATCCCTTAACATAATTATTCTCTATGGAAACAAAAGGAAGGAAATGGTTTCTGTCCACCAGTACTGAGTTTCAGCAGTTTGATGCCCCTAGTCTCCATATTTCTAAAGTGTTAGAAGAAATCCCAGTTTCCTCGCTGGTATTTCTCTGAACTCAAAAAGTGTGGATATTTGTTACATTTCAATAGATTTAATTGTTTGTTAGTGCTAGAACATTGCATATAAGATCAGAAAATTTAGAGAGATTTTATTTTTCTTTCACAATCATAATGCCTTGAAAATTATCTCCTTATTTGTATTTGATTTTCTTAGAGTTTGGGTGCCCTTTTTCGGGAAGACCCCTTTTTGTTGTCATTGCCACATCAGCAAGTGTCTGATGGTAGAGAGCTATGGCCTCTTTGCTTTAGTTAAACTCCATCTCTACCCTAAAAGCTGTTCTCATTTAGGGAGGAAATGAAGTTGCTGACTACAGCATGCACAGTCCACCAGTGGGGACTGAACACATTGCTCAGGGTATTTAGGATGACACAAATGAAGACATGGGTGCTAATGGACTGTGTAAGTGATAGTACACCATTAATTTGCAGATTCTTTCTGTAATACATAGTCTTGGAACCTGATCTGCATTCCACTAGAGCAGTGGTTCTTAGTTGTGTACCCCTTGAGCAGCTGGTAAAATTGTGTTTGTGGCTTTTGTTGTCATCCTTGTTGCTGTCATTTCCTTCATTCTGTTTCTGGAGGTTTGTGAGCCTCCTGAAACCCACAGGGACTAAAGGGATACATGCTGACGGAGGAACCAGGTCAGATGTCTGGGAGTAGGCAACAGGTTGAATAAAGGATCCAGAAACAATACCAGTTGTCCATAAGGAACAGTGATTGGGTTTGAATTAAGGAAAGGTTTTCAGTAGGTTTGGTGAGATGACAGTTGTAGTTTGCTGTGATACAGAGAAAGGTCATAGAAATCTGTAAGCTTATGGCAGGTCCTCTTGTTTTATTTATTCAGCAACAGCTATTAAAAGAGAATGTACACTGAAGTGATATGGACTGATCCATCAATTACCTGGGCATCTGCCACAGCGAAGACTAATTTGGAGGGGAGGAGATAAATGGGGCTGGGTAGATAATGTAGCATGGGAGAGACAGATCTAATTGTGTGTCCATTGTGACTGGTAAAGGATGAGTTCACTTCAAGAAATACCCTGAAATAGATTTGACGTTTGTAAAATAGTTGGATAAGGTAGAAATTGGATATCTAGATGGGAACAGTCTGCCACATAAGATGAGTGGACCTAACTAAGGACAACTTGGGAGAGAGAGGAACTAGAAATGGCAGTCATCCGTATGCAGACACTTATTGCAGTGGACTGAGTAGCTGCTTGAGTTGAGCTTAGTTCCCTCCTGTACTTCTGTCCTTTGCTATGCTGCATTCTGTTGCCCAAGAGTTTGAGCTTGGCTCAGTATTCAGTTAACATACTGTCTTCTGGGCCAGTGCTTTAGCTGTCCTGTGCTGTCATAGCCTCGGTCTGTTGTATTGGCTTGAGTTCTTACCTTCAACTTTCTTCTCTGGGGGCCTCTGCACTCTCGCTTTGCTGTGCTGTAGAGTTATCCCAGATGCAGAACCAGCCCTCACTCTCACTCTTGTTCTGTTTTTTGGTGTAATGTCTAGCTTTATTTGCAGCTCCTTCAGCAGACTGCCTCCTCTGGGAACCTCAACACCCTGAGCAGCCTCCACCCAATGGGAGGTAAGTGTTTTCACTGCTGTGGAGAACAGGAGCAACCAGGCTACCAGACCCAGCTAACAACAGTCTGAGTACCATTTGTGTGCAGGGGGGGAAATAATCCCCTGCCCTGACTTGTTATGTAAACCTGACATAGGTGAACATCCCAGGACTCAACTGCCTTGTATCTAGAAGGTGGCTCTCTTAGTTGTTAATGCCAGATTGCTCTGGGCTTATCTTCTGCTCCCCGCTCTCTCTTAAGGAAGAATATGGAAAAGTTGTCAGCACCATCAGATTCTCTGAGGTCATTTTGATAGGGAGAACATTGCAGGAAGTCTTTATTTTTCATAGTAAAGTGACTTTTCCAGTGACACTGTGGAGAAAAAAAATCCTAAGGTGGTTTCTGTGTAAATAGTTTACCCTGCAGCTGTTAGAACCCCAGGCAGTTAGTTTACTTCTGTGCCTTTTACATGTTCTTAGGTGAATTATCTTTTCTTGCTGTTAACATCCATGGAAAACTTAATTGACAGATACGTGAGTTTCTAACAAAAAGGGACTCCACAGACAAACCTGAGGCAGGGGCCATCAAAAAAGTCAGTGGGAGGTGGGAGTGGGGAGGTCCCAGAGCTGCCTGTTTTGGCCCCTTCTGTAGTTGGTGTGGCTGGGCAAGTGTATTTGACAAGGGGGTAGTCTTAGGTGAACTGCATTGTTGACTGATTCTCTTTGTCCCAAGGACTTACTTAGAGTTTGCTATGTTTTTGAAATGTTGCTAGATGTAAATCTGGGTTGTAGTTTTTAATTCTCATTTAACTCACTTCCCCTCCTCCCCATCTGCCTTTCCATCATCTAGTAAATGGTCTGCAACACACTGTCAGCGCAGTTCAGATTTCTTGCTCACCTTCAACTATGTTGCCTAGGTTCGGTGTGTTTTTTCTCTCCTGTGATTAATCTGCTGTTCAAGTGGTGGTTTTTCTTTATTCCTTCTCTTTAATGCTGTTATCATGTATTTTTTTCTGTTGTTCCTCCCTTGGACTTTTGGATCTCTTCCATATTTTCTGCTTGTTTGCCTCTGTTGCCAAGAGCAGATCCCTTGTAAAGTATGAGTAAGGAGCTCACATGCAGTCTCATTCTGTGCCATAGGTTTTGGCCTTGTTCCATTGGACACCTGGCCCCATGGTAGACCACAGACCTTCGCCTCTTGCCTAGTTTCCTAATTGCCCATCCTCTTTATTAATGCTCACTTTTGGTGGCATGTTCATGTTGTTGGATTAGCTATCTCTTCTGAAGAAATATGTCGAGTTTCTTAATGAGTGATATCAGAATCTTTTTGGAGTGCTGTAGTATTACTTGTAAGGCTTATCTAGAGCACCTTGTCTTTGAGACTAGCCTTCTGCCAATGTGAGCTGTCATTGTTGGAGTGGATATGAGACGCCCCTGGGGTGGATATGAGGCTGATCTCTTTCTTTGGATGTTGCAGGGTTAAATGCAATGCAGTTACAGAATTTGGCTGCACTAGCTGCTGCAGCTAGTGCAGCTCAGAACACACCGAGTGGCACTAATGCTCTCACTACATCCAGTAGTCCCCTCAGCGTACTCACCAGTTCAGGTAAGTGTGCGGTAGGCACCAGTGTGCCTTTGTGTGCCTCGGGCAGAATTGCCAAAGAGAGGTATGCCATTCTGGAGAGTAGTAAACACCCATTCCCAAAGGGGTCAGATCATGAACAGTACATTTTCAAATGTCATTTTTCTGATTTAAGAGATACCTCATAATTTTTATGAGATTTTTTTTTTGTTGTTGGAAACTTCATTTGGACTCTCGTGCATTGGTTCCTGGTGACTTGAAAAGGCCTGAGTTTAACTTGCGGATTTCTGATAGCAGGGTCTTCACCGAGCTCCAGCAGTAGCACCTCTGTCAACCCCATTGCCTCCTTGGGAGCCCTGCAGACATTAGCTGGAGCAACGGCAGGCCTCAACGTTAGCTCTTTGGCAGGTGAGGGGCAGCCTCTGTATGTTAGTAGGCCATTCTTTTTGCAGGTAGCACATTTTAACCAACCATGGTAGGAGCACCGTTGTGATGGGGTGGCCTGGTGAAGTTAGGAAAAATGATGGGATTTCAAATTAGATCTGTGTTAAATCCTACCTCTACCCCTTAACTAGGTGTAACTCATAACCACCTCCTTAAGTCATTTTTCTCATCTATGAAGCAGGATTAGAATAGTTTGAGAGTTGCTGAGGTAAATGAGAACATAGGTAAAGTGCTAAGTACATTGCTTAGTATAGTATTTGGCAAGAAGAATGTGCTGAGTAAATGTTAGCTGCTATTTTGATGCTAGGGTTTACCTACATCTTGTCATAGATCACATGCACCCCCTTGAGTTCCCAGTCCTGGGATGCTTATTTTATCATATGCCACGAGAAAGTGGCAGAAAAAACAAAGAGAAAATGTGACAGGTCATGTTTATTTTACATTTTATTTTATTTACTTGCGTTATTAAACACTCACCCCAACTAGTGTAGTGACTGTCAACATAGGAAGATGTTAATAGTACTGTGGGCAAGTCATATTTAGGTGGTATCACTTCTTGCACTGGTTGTAAGATGCTGATGGGAGAGCCACACCTAGGTGTGGTATTTTAATGTTCCCACTAGCAACAAAGCCTGGTGAGCATTTGAAATCTGATGTCAAGTTGGGTATTACTCTTTAGGGTGGAGCTCAAAGGGAGATAAAAAGGAGAATTTTGGAGTTTGTCTTTGTCATTGGATGAGTTTTTCCAATCTGCTAATCCTGCTCTTCCCCCTAACAAAGGGATGGCTGCTTTAAATGGTGGCCTGGGCAGCAGTGGCCTTTCCAATGGCACTGGGAGCACCATGGAGGCCCTCACACAGGCCTACTCGGGGATCCAGCAATATGCTGCTGCGGCACTCCCTACCCTGTACAACCAGAATCTGTTGACACAGCAGAGTATTGGTGCTGCTGGGAGCCAGAAGGAAGGTGAGTGCAAAGGGAGACTGGAACAGGGACAGGGGTGGTTACTCTGTGTGCTCCAGAACTGAAAGGCAGGGCAAACACCAAAAGAACCATGTAGGTGGTCAGACCAACATTTAATTGGCAGTGTCAAGAGTAGACTGAGAAACTCTGTAAAGTATGATCTCCTTTTGAAATGATCCCTGGATGTGGCTCAGATCAGAACCTCTGTGTGCCCTCCTTGGAGGGGACTGCAGTTTTTAGATGAAGAAACCTACTGGCCTTATTGTGTCTGACGCCATTTGGCAATCTCTCTTCATTAGGAGATCTTGGTGGATATAAATCTGTCAGAGGATATCTTCTGGCTAGGAGTCCCTTTTAGCTGTATCATTTGGCATTGTCCTCACTTTCTGATACACACTTTTCCCAATTCAGGACAAAATGAAGGGCAGTGGGACAGAAAGAGTTAGAGCCCACAGGTTGATGGTGTGGGAAAGAAGTATGCACTTTGACTTAAATGGCATTAAGTTGAAGAGAGGCTTTCTGGGCAGAAAGAGGCCTGAAGGTGGTTTGTATGAATAGAAAATCCGGCTGACACCTGTGTGCTCATATTTGACTGGGTTTTTATTGTTTATTAAGGTATCATTGATATACACTCTTATGAAGGTTTCACAAGAAAAACAATATGGTTATTATATTCACCCTTATTATCGATTCCCCTCCATACCCCATTGCTTGACTGGGTTTTTATAGCTAGAAACTGGGAAGTTCTAAGTGCTAATCTAGGAAAAAGACAAGTATCCTTTCTTACCATAGCATCATGGAGTCCCGGTCTAGTGCATCTTCACCTGCTCTGAATCAAGATGCTCATGTGCCCTGGGATGTGGTAGTGGGGGAACTGATGTAACCATGGAGACAGACTTGATAAACACATAATAAAACATGAGGTGTTTGAAATGAAGTTCTGAAGAATGGTGTACAGCTTAAGAGGGATAAGGCATGCTGGAGGCATAGCATCTTACATAGAATGGTCAGAGAAAGTCTGTGTAAGTTGGAGTTCAAGCAGAGACCTGAAGGAAGTAAGGAAGCAAGCCATGCATATACCCAGAGGAAGACAAGTAATGGGGGCAGAGGAACAAGTGCAAAGGCCCTGAGGCAGCAGTATTCTGTACTGTCTTTGAGGACAGCAGGGAGAATAGGATGGCTGGAGAATGGCTATTGTAATAAAACTCTTTTTTTTGTTAGAAAAGCGTTGTGTATAAGTGGTTGGAAGAGGAAAATACCCTATTTTTGAGCTCAGTGTTAATCACAGGCACATTTAAAAAATGTAATTTCTTTTACTAAGGCACAGTTTACAGATAGTAACATTCATTTTTCTTGGAACATGGCTCTGTGAGCTTTGACAAACTCATGCAGTCGTGTTACCATCACTGTGGTTGTAGACCATCTCCACCACCCTAAGAAATTCCCTCATATCCCTTTGACGTCATTTACCTGCCCATACCTCCTGTCCCTGGCAACTACCAATCTATTTGCTGTCCCTGTGGTTTCTAGGCACAATTTTGAGACCTGTTTATGATCTCATTTTCCCTTCTCTTCTGTGTTCCTCTGCAAGCCTCTCTAGTCTCTGGTTTCATTGTTCCACAGGCAAATCTGCCTACCTATTGTCCCATCACACTCTCCTTCCACAAGATCACATTCTAACATCCCTCAACGAGACATGGAGCGTGGTGAAACAGGAGGAAAGGATTCTGTTGCAGTGGTTGCCCTTCAGTTCCCTGGCTTTATCTTGGGAGAATCTGTTTACGTCTCCAAATGAAACCTCATTGGGATGCTGACAGTTTTAACGGGAAAATGAGTGACAGTTGGTGTGGGAGGGTGTGTGTGGTTGATACTGATAACTTTTAAACCAATGGGTATTTTGAAGGTCCAGAGGGAGCCAATCTGTTCATCTACCACCTGCCCCAGGAGTTTGGAGATCAGGACCTGCTACAGATGTTTATGCCCTTTGGGAATGTCGTGTCTGCCAAGGTTTTTATAGATAAGCAGACAAACCTGAGCAAGTGTTTTGGTATGTTGGCTTCTCTTCTGGTGATGGAGAGGTGTGGGAGTTAAGTGTTTTTACCTCAGGGAAAGAGATGGAGCTGAAAGGAAGAGCTGGGATCGAGTTTGGGTTACTGTTTAACTCAGCCTTGGGCACATTTTTTTCTTTTGAGCCCCAGTTTTTTCATTTCTTCAGTGGGAATGATGATTTCTACCCATGTGTTACTCCAGAGGTGAAAATAATGTATGGAAAATGGTTTGGCAAAAATACTTAAAAGTAACAGACAGATGTGAGGTAGTACAGTACAGTTAGGAGCTTAATTTATTTCATGTGGTATAATTTCCAGAATTCTTATCCTTGCTGAGGAAAATTGGGATTTGAGACTAAGCATATAAGATACCTCTTGCATAAGGGGGACTGAGAATCTCCTTGCCTCATTATGTCCCTCACTTAGGTTTCTGCTTGGACACACAGGTTTTGTAAGTTACGACAATCCTGTTTCGGCTCAAGCTGCCATCCAGTCCATGAATGGCTTTCAGATTGGCATGAAGCGGCTTAAAGTGCAGCTCAAACGTTCGAAGAATGACAGCAAGCCCTACTGAGCGTGCTCCCCTCTGAGACTGGAGTGAGAGGGTCTTCTGGTAAGTGGGGGAGGAGCACCCTTAATGATTCGAAGCCCTAAGGCTGTGTGTTGACAGCCCTGGACCCTGATCCCTGCTGCTCTCGCAGGCACAGCTTGCCCTGAAGACTCGGCTACTGCCTTCTGTGGGAGTTTCACTTCGTACAGAGGACAAATTTGTGCTTTGGTTTCCAGTGTTTCACTTTGGAGTTTAGATGCCATATCCTGAGTTATTTTCCTTATTTAAAGTTTGCTGTGTTTGTAATCAGTGTGTGTTGAGAAGGACCAACATCAAACCGCCCTTGGGGAGGAGGAGGGGGTATGGAGAAACATAAAAAGAGATCAGAACTTGCCCCAAACTATCCCAAGAGAGAGGACTGAGTGAACAAAAATTGACCCCTAGAATCTCCCTGAGTGTGAGAATGGGTGAAACGGGAACTGATACCCAAGAGCTGTGGGGGCAGAGAGGAGGTCTTGGCTTTTGGGGGAGGGTGAGAGTGACTTGACACCCAGCAGCCCTGGGAGCTGGGGGCCGAAACACCTCCAGAGCTGACTTTTGGGGAAATACTGAGTTCATGCCACCTGTTTTTCAGATTCTTGTCCAGGATTTCTGACCCTCTTTCCCAAGAAGGGGCTAACAATTCTTTAGAAATAAAGCACCTGTTAAATTAGCCTGATGTATGCAAAAAGCAAGGGGACATTACCCCTTACCAGCTTTCCCAGTCTTCCATTAGTACTGGATTGGCTCTGCCTGGCTGGTGCTTGTTAGGAAGAAGCATCTGGTAAAAGAGGTCGTATTTTAGTTTATTTCAACACCAAATTATTTTACTGGGATCCATTTCTAAGAGGTCCCTTTAAAGAAGACCTCTAAGGAAGACACTACACAGTTTCCTTCCTTGTAGCTGACCATAGCAAGGACTGTCACTTCCATCCAAAGCCAGCTTTCTCAAGAAGGTAGATCCAAGAAGGGCTTAGAGTGTATAGCTGAAGGGGGCACCTCTCCTGAGCAGAGCGATCAAAAGCCATCAAGTTGGAGGAAGAGGAGCCTTTTCTTGGTGTACCTGAACCAAAAGGTCCCTCCCTTTAAGCCAGAGTGCTGCATTTGTCAGTGGCCAACATTTCATACTTGAATGGATCAAGAAGTCTGTGCTTGCCCTTGCCTCTGTAGTTGAGGTATTCCAGATAAAGTAATCCCACTGAGGCAGGCCCCTCTTCTAAACAGAGGAGACAATGGGACGTTTACAGCCTCCATATGGATTTAGTGTTCATTTACCTCAGTATTACTGTGTTTGTTTTTGTCCTTGTGCTTACAGTTAGCTCCTTGCTGCCTCCCATAGATCTCACTCCAGTCTTGCCTGTGACCCACATAGCCTCTGGGTCCTACCTCTGCTCCAAGAAATGCTGTGGGGGTGGAGAGCCAGAAGGACTTGCTGTTGGGAATATACACCTCAGCAGAGATAGCTCTGTTAGGATATGACTGACTCTCAGCCAAGGCCAGGGACTGGGTCCCTGCTATCTTAAACCTCACAAACATCAGTCCTTACCCCTAGCAGCAGAGATGAAATGAGAGAGATTGGTTTGCTGTTAAGTTGGTTGGGGGCTCTTTCCTTGCCATGCTGTCCATTTGGGTAAGAGACAGGGATTGACCACCTTGCTGTTGTGCAGGTAGTTCGTGGTGTTGGATAATCCCATTGAAGCTGGGACAGCTGTTCCCTTCTCATAGTGATAACTTGGGTGTGTTGTCCTCTAAGGAATGTGAAACATACTTCTTGAGCTGAACCACATAAACTTGAATTACGTGCACTAGGAGAAATGTGTCCTGTGTTTCAAGGATAAAACTGTTCCAAAGGCTTCCAGGGTCATGATGGGATTTTTTAAATAAAAGCAAAAAAGAAAAAGAAAAAAATGCTAGGTTGGGGAGGCGCTGTTCTGAGTCCCAACTGGCTGGAACCAAGAATGTCATTTCTATTTTTATAGAAGTTTTATACAGCTCTGGGGTGGAGAATATTTATTACCTAAACTATGTCTCTGGAAAAGGCCAGGATTTTGTAGAATCCAGAATGTGATTGTTGTACACACAGGGTGCTGTGTATGATTGATACTACTGACTTTCTGTGGCCCAGCTAATCTTGCCAGGGTGGGGGATGAGTTAATGCTGTGAATTGGTGGAGGAGAGAGCTGTGCTCCCCAGGGTGCTGCCAGTGCTTTGATCCCTAACCTTCTGTCTTCTTGGCCATCGTGGGGGTTTTCTAAAGCCCAAAACTCCACTCTGCTTCCACTCTCCCCTTTCTCTCCCTCTTCCCCCATTTCACTATTTGTCCTCTGATTTGTCCTGGGCTCTGGAACTTTAAAACACCTTTCCAAACAATGCAGAAGACAAAGGTGCGGTCAGCCTGCCTTTGTTACCAGACCTGGAGGTTTTGTGCCTGCTTGTGGGTTCTCTTTTCTACAAGGAGTGTATGCCACAGTAGGGCTCTCAGCTGCCACATTGGCCAGCTGGTGAGACCAGGCATTTCTCCCTGCCTGGAGTGAACACAGCAGCACTGCCCTTGAGCACAGTCCTCTCCTCAGGCCAGAGATGGTTTTGTGACGAAGCTGCTCCCAGACAAGTCTAATAGTATAAAAGGTTCAGCTTGCAGAGT